TATAAAGAAAAATGGAGTTATGTCATTTGCTGTTCCTTTTCCTTCTCTTCCACATCTCTCATCAGCCAGCTGGTGTACAAATCTTTTTTTTTAATAATTTATTATTTTATTGTTATTATTTATTGCTTTTATTAAGCCACATTTTAGGTTGCCTCACCTTAACTTTATTTATTTTTTTTAATTTTATTCATATGTGCATACAATGTTTGGGTCATTCCTCTCCCTTCCTCCCACCACTCCCTAACCCCCACTCCCTCTCTTACTCCCCTTACCCCTCGCTACCCGGCAGAAACTATTTTGCCCTTATCTCTAATTTTTATTCAGGTCTTCCTTTCCAGTTTCCTCTTCCTTTCCACTCTCCTGCCTCTTCTCCCTTCTCCCATCACTTTTCTTATGCAGAATAATTTCATTCTCCTGGTCTCTAATTTGCATTCTTTACACTTATTAGCATGCTCAGTAAATAAAAGATTAGGAGTCAGCTTCCTTAAATGGCAGCAGGAAATAGTAAAGAACTGAATATGTTTCCCTGTCAGAAAGAATTTTTGTTTTAATTTTGTTACCATATGGCAGGTCTATGTTCAGATTTTTAAGAAGTCTCCAAATTTTTTTCCAGAGTGGTTGCACCAGCTTGCATTCCCACCAGCAGTGGATTAGGGTTCCTTTTTTTCCACATCCTCACCAGCACTTGCTGTTGGTGGTGTTTTGGATGATGGCTATTCTAACAGGGGTGAGGTGGAATCTTAGTGTGGTTTTGATTTGCATTTCCTTTATGGCCAGAGATGGTGAGCATTTTTTCATGTGTTTTTTTTCTTAAAAATCTAAACATAGACCTGCCATATGATCCAGCAATCCCACTCCTGGGGATATACCCAAAGGAATGCAACACAGCTTACTCCAGAGGCACCTGCATACCCATGTTTATTGCAGCACCATTCACAATAGACAAGCTATGGAAACAACCAAAATGCCCCACTACTGATAAATGGATCAAGAAAATGTGGTACTTGTACACAATGGAATTTTACTCAGCTATGAAGAAAAAAATGAAATCTTATAATTTGCAGGTAAATGGATGGAACTGAAGAACGTCATTTGGTCTTCTGAGGCCCAGAAGACCAAAAATTGTATGTTCTCCCTCATATGCGGACTTTAGATCTAGGGCAAATGCAGCAATGTGATTGGACTTGGATCACATGACACGGGGAGAGCACATAAGGGAGATATAGGAATAGGTAGAAAACCCATAACATGAAAGCATTTGATGTCCCCACTCCAGAGGAACTAATACAGAAACCTTAAAATGACAAGTTGTTATGAACAGGGGATCAGGAACCAAGGTAAAGATCACTTAAGAGTTAAATCAACATGGGTCGTAACACATGGGTACATGAAAGCAATAGTAGGAATCTTTCTGTACAGTTATCTTTAACTCAACTAGCAAAAACGCTTTGTCTTTCTTATGCATATGTCCTTTCTTCAACAAAATCAGTGATAAGGGCAGAACGGGACCTACCTGAAACTGAGGGGCGGAAGGGTGGGGGAGGGGGGGGCAAGGTGGAGAAATGACCCAAACAATGTATGCACATGTAAATAAATTAAAAAAGAATTTTTGTTACCAAAAAAGTACTGTGAATTTAACTACATGTCAAAAGAAAAGTCAGATCCAATTCAGAAAGCTTCATAAGTAAATGATCTATGTACAGGCTCCCTCTTAGAGGCTGCCCTGGACCTATTTTAAGCTTCCTGCTGCTGCTGGTAGGACTGGTGCAAGCCACCACACCTAGGTTTTTTTTCTCTGTTGAGATGGAGGTCTCACAATTTTTTTTTTTTGCCAGGAACTGCAACCCTCCTGATCTTAGCCTCCTGTAATTTTGGATGACAGGCACACACCACTGTACCCAGTTATTGGTTGAAATGGGAGTCTCATGAACTTTTTGCCCAGGCTAGGCTTCAACCAGAAACCTCCAGATCTCAGCTCCTCAAGTAGCTAGAATTATAAGTGTAAGCCATAGGCACCCAGCTTTCTAAAATCTTTCTTGAGAGGGAAAATTTCAGAATTCATTTTATGAAACAAGTATTAACCTAACGTATGAGGCCCCTATTAACCTGATACCAAAGCCAGAGAAAGATACCATGAGAGAATATAAGCCAGTATCAGTAATGAATATAGATGTGAATTTCTTTAACAAAATACTAAAAAACTGAATGGAATAGTATATTAAAAGGATTATATACTATGACCCTGTGTGGTTTATCCCAGGAATACAAAGATGATTCAATACAAGAAAATCAATCAATATAAAATATTATATTAATAGAATGAAAGGAAAAAATTCATATCTCAATGGGTACAGAAAAATTATTTGACAAAGTCTAACACCCTGCCATGATAAAATCAATCAGGAAACTAGAAATATTAGGAAAATTCCTGAACATGATAAAGAGCTTTTATGAAAAACCAACAACCAACATCACAACAATGGTGAAAGTATGAACGTTTTCCCATTTAGCAAAGATGCCCACTTTACCTGCTATTCAATATTGTACTGTCAGTATTAAACAGAGCAATTATGCAACAAATAAAATGCATACTAACTGGAAAGGAAAAAGTAAAACTACCTTTATTTACCTCTATTCATATTTATTTACATGAATCTATATATAGAATATCCCAAAAAAACTCCTCAAAAACCTACTAGAGTTAACAAATTTACAAATTTAGCAAATTTCCAGAGTACAGTATCAATACATAAATATCAATTGTACCTTTATGCACAATCCAAAAAGGTAAAAAAAAACACATTTGCCAAAATATCCAAAAGAATAAAATATCTAAGAATAAATTTAACCTATGAGGTTAAAGACTTATACACTGAAAATTACAAAACATTGTTGAAATTGAAAATGGCACAAATAAATGTTCATGGATCATCAAACTTAATACTGCAAAGATGTCAATAGTGCCCAAAATGAGTTATGGATTCAATGCAAACCTTATCAGAATAAAAATGGCCTACTTGAAAAAATGGAAATGCTGATCCCAAAATTTATACAGTGTAAGGGGCATTCATACAGGTAAAGAGCAAAGTTGGGGGACTCACAGATCCCCAACTGAACTTGCTGTAAAGCTGCAGTAAACAAAATTTACATAGCAATAAACTAGAACTGGAAGTCCAGAGATAATTCCATTATTCTCTGGTCAACTGATTTTCAACAAGGACATCAATACTATTTAGTAGGTATTTAGTAGGGAATGAATATTTTCTTCAACAAATAGCACTGGGACAACAGGAAATCAACATGCAAAAGAATGAAGTTGAACCCCTAACATATACCATACACAAAAATTAACTTAAAATGAGTCAACAATTCAAATATAAGAGCTAATAAAACTCTTATAAGAAAACAGTAAAGTAGCCCTCATGATGTTAGATTTGGCAATGGATTCTTTTTTTTCTTTTATTCATATGTGCATACAATGTTTGGGTCATTCCCCCCCCTTCCGTCCCCCCTCCCCCCTTCCTCCGTCTCTTCACCCCCCCATCCCTTGTTGAAAATCAGTTGACCAGACAACTGGTTAGATTTGGCAATGGATTCCTATTTCTTTCTTTTATTCATATGTGCATACAATGTTTGGGCCATTCCTGCCCCCCACCCACACCCCTCTCCCCCCACCCCCTTGCTTCCAGGCAGAAACTGTTTTGCCCTTATCTCTAATTTTGTTGAAGAGAGAGTATAAACAATAATAAGAAGGATGAAGGATATTTGCTAGTTGAGATAAGGATAGCTCTACAGAGAGGTTCCTTGCTGGCAATGGTTTCTTAAATAAGACACAAATCCCCAGCCAAGCAAAGAAAAAACAAATAGACTGGACTTGTTCAAAATTTTAAAAAATTGTACATCAAAGGACATTATCAAGAAAGCATAAAGACAATTTACAGAATAGGAGGAAAAATTTGCAAATCATACTCCCTGATAAAGATCCAATATACAGAATAAATAATTTTTTAAAACTCAACAACAAAACCACAAACAATGCATTTAAAAAGAGTCAAAGAACTGGGAAATAAATTTCTCCAAAGATACACAAATGGCAACAATCACATATAAAGATGTTCAATCTCATTAGTAATTAGGGAAATACAAGTTAAAACCATAATGAGATAGGATTTCATTGTTGAGAGATGTAAAATCAGTCATTTACAAAACAGTTTGGGACTGCTTCAGAAAGTTCAATATGGAGTTCCCATATGACTCAACAATCCTACACCTAGAGAACCAAAAATGTATCTATCCAAGACTGTGTACACAGGGTGGGTGTGGAGGTTTACACTATTAATCCCAGCTACTTGGGAAGAAGAAAAGGAAGTAGGAGGTAGAAGGCAAAAAAAGAAAAAAAACAAAAAAAAGAAAGCTGCACACAAATGTTTATTGCTTATAACAGCCCCAAACTGGAAATAATCCAAATCTAATACATTTGATATACAGGTAAATAAAATGTGCATACATAAAATGGAATACTATTGTGCCATAAAAACGGAAGTCACTTATAGGCTGGGTAATTGGGAGCCACTGGTATGGGGGTGATTAAAATATCTTAGAAGTAGATAAAAGAGACAAACAGACATTTAAATGCAGTAAATTGCTCAAGTTGTTCACTATGAAATAATTTTATGCTATGTGAGTTTTACCTCAATAAAAAAGACACAGGAGGTCAGTATTTTGCCAGGGGAAGTTAAGGGAAGGCAGGACATCTTGGGGTGAGGTGAAAATAGGCAGATTTTTAGTAAGGGAAGCTAAGGACGGAAGAACTTTGTGAGGAAGACTGAGAAAGGTGAAGGCCAAAGGGTCTCCTGAGCAAGAAGAGAGGGCGGGCGGGAAGGCTGGCCATTGGTGCAGGGGGAAATGGGAAGGTTTGAAAAGAGACTGTTGGACCCGCCCGATCCACAATATCTGCTACACCTACCCACATCCCGACCCGGCCTGTCACCAGCACTCACCAGAGCTCAGGAAATAACAAAACAGCAGTAAGGCACAGATAAGGAGAATGAGCACCCCAAAACGTTTGTGGGCCCACACAGTCATCAGAGATTCGCGCATGTCTGCCCAGAATCCTCCCACAGCAGCTTGCCTGCCGGGCTGAGGCATCGCCGCCATGCCAGCCTCGTGGCCAAGATTGATGAACCTGGGATGGGAGCTGATGGCAGGATTCTCAGCATTGAATCCTGCCTCACAAGCTGCCAGTCTAGAGCGTGTGCTACGCGTTGCCGGGCCCTTAGACCTAGTCTTCCCAGTATGCCTAGGTACGGAAGGCATGGTGACGGAGAGCCTCCTGCCTCAGGAACCGCCTCAATGCCTAACGGTCCACTACCCACAATCCCCTAGGGCAGCGAAGCTCTCGTGGCACTTGGAGCTCTCTCGAGACTTGAGGCTTATTTGTTCCTTACCACGCCTTTCCTCCTCATTCCACAGGCCCCGCCCTTTTTAGCTCCTTATAAGAATGTCTCTGGCACCTGTGCACCCCTAAGAGTCCTTATACTTGTACTTGGGAAATTCTTGTTGAATAAATGAAGGGAGCTTGAAGCCTACACCAGTAGCATGGCTACTTGGCATAGATCAACAAGAAGGAATAATCAAATTCAGACTCCAGCCTTTGCTGCTTATCCCTCCTCACATTCATTCCTATAACATGCATGCGCAGTAGCTGCTATAGTCACTACTGTTAGTCACCATAGTGCTCACTACATCGGCCATTAGACAGAAGTGGCGATTTAAATGTAAATTGCAATTACATGAATTTAAATTAATGAATCAGTTCCTCAATCACAGTAGCTCCATTATCAAGTGCTCAATAGCTACCTAGGCTGTGGCTTCAGACAGTACCACTATGGAGCATTTATATCATAGCAGAAAGTTGTCTTGTGTGGGAAGGCTGAATGTGAAAAGTAACTATAGGGAATATGGTACATGTTAAATAGATTATACTGTAGTAGGAGCTCATAAGTGGAAAAAATGGTATATTGTATTTGTCTTCGTAAACCATAAAATTTAGTTAAAAATAAACAACAGGACAACATGAAAACAAATGATGCATGAGAAACATTACAGAGTGATTCAGAACACTTACTTTATCACCATGCTTGCCACCTATGAACTTGCCACCCCCTCTGTCACTAGGGTTTGGACATTGTTTCTAAGCCTATTTCTAGCTCTAGCATCTGGCCCTTGGGCAAATCCCATTAATCCCCTTGCTTTGGGAAAAAGGACCGAGTTGGTCATGCTTCCATAACTGTAGCTTAACACATTTAGGTTTACCAGGAATGTGAAAACTACACTCCTCAACTGCATTATTCTTACTATATTATATTCACCTTCTATTAATTTAATTCTATCATTCTTTCCAATGTTAGTAGACAATATATTGAAGGAGGAAAGAAAAGGCTTCCTATTCAAATCATAACTGAAACTCCTAGCCCACTGTACCTGTCTGCAGCTCAATACCCAGGAGCGATTCATAATGCTCCTTAGTCAATTACAGTACCTGATGGAAAAGACCCTGCTTTCCTTTCCTTTGTTTTGTTTTTTTATTTTGTTTTGCTTCAGCCTATCTAAAGCTAATTTAGCGAGAAGACCATTGTCCTCCAAAATACCTATTAACAGCTTCTAAACTGCTGCTTGCAAATGTAAGGAACTATGAAGTGTCTGATATTTTACTCTATTTTCAAGTAACAATGTAGCCAACTATAGTTCCACAGATGCTGGCAGAAGAGATAAGATTACTCACTTAAAGACAAAAGAAAAAAGTTCTGAGACATGCAGAAATGTAACAGACCTATGAAGAATTGCTTCCCAACAACAACTTTGTTCATGTTTTAGCACATGTGGAAAATGAATATATGACCAGACACCACACAAGCACCCTGAGAGCTCAGAAGATGAAGCTGGAGTATTTGAGATAGGAACTCAGCTCATGGCCACCTCACATTTTGAGCTCTCTTAACCTAGTTTCCTCCCTATACCAATTACAGGCTGTGCACAGCGTGACTGTAAAGACATCTTCCAGGTCTGGTATGCTATGACTCATATTCGACGATAGCATGTGGGAGTTCTTGTGAACAGGCAAGGCATGGCAGTTCTACAATTCAATGCTCCTAAGTAATCCACATGATACTTTACAAATTCAAATTACTAACAGGAACTCAAGAAGTTAAACTCTCTACGATTACATTTGAGCCCTGCTTGGTACATACAACACTATTTTAAGATTGGGGCCAATAAAGCCATGTGAATTATCCAATTATTTCAATCCATTTTCCATGGATAAAATAAAATAAAATACCTTATACTGTGCAACTTACAAAGAAAACAGGTTTATTTTGCTCATAGTTTGGAGGCTGGGAAGTTCAAGAGCATGGCAGTGACATCTGTTCAACATATGATAAGGGTCTTCTTCCTGAAAAATAACATGACAGATGACATCACAGTTTAAGAGAAGGCAAGAAGCTAGCTCAAGTCTCTCTTCTCCTTATACAACCACCAATGTCATCAGGGGACCCTACCATCACAATCCTAATTGTTCCAAATTTTCCACTTCCAAATGCCATTAACATATGATTTTGATGAGTAAGTTTTTGACACACAAAATTTGAGGGACATCTTCAAAACATGAGATGTAAACTTGAAATCATGCATCAGCTTTCCTCTTTCATCCTATACTCTTGTGTTAGTCAGTTTCCTACCACTGTAACAAATGCCTGAGAAAATCAACTTAAAGGAGAAAATATTTATTTTGGTTCACAGTTTCAGAGATAGTAGCCCAAAGTCACTGACTCCATTGCTTATAGGACTGAGATAAGGCAGAAAATCATGGCAGAGAGCCTGTGATGGAGCAAAGCTGCTCAGGAAGCAGAGAAAGAGTGAGAGGAAGGGGCCAGGGACAAAACAGAACCATTTTATGATCCTGCTATAACACTTCTGGGCATATATCCAAAGAGTATAGGTGTGAATACAATAAGATCCCTGAACATCCATGTATACTGCAGCACTATTTGCCTAGGTGCCCACCAACCAATGAATGGATAAAGAAAATTTGGCACATACCCAATAGAGTATAATTCAGCCTTAAAGAAGAAAAAAATATTGCATGTTTTATCTCATATGTGGAATCTAGACTTAATAATAAAACATGATTGTAAAAGGAGGACTGTTTGGTAGGGAACCAGTGAGAGGGGAAGGGGTGAATATGATCTAAATACATTACACATATATATGAAAATGGCATAATGAAACCCACTAAAAACTGTTTTAAAAGTGGGGAGGCCAATGTATTTCTCTGTAAGGGAGACTGGGCCAGTCTTGATCCTGGACTCTAGCCCGACTTCTAACTGCTCTCAGTACAATGGAAACCATTGGCTTTGAGCTTTGTAGTGCTGCGCCTCTTGCCCCTACTGCTGCTCCGACCTCCAAGTGTCTCCAGCCTGCTGGCCCAGGCCCCTCACTGAGATGTTGTCCATATGCCCTGCATACCAGGTGGCTGTAGGAAGCCTGGACCTGTGTTGCCCCAGCTTCCAGGGTCTCCTCAGCCCCCTCCTGGACTCCCCACCAGAGGCTAGGATTCTCCTCCCCACAGCAAGTCCTCCTGGGTGCTAGGGCCCCTGCCTCTCTAGAACACCCCAGACTGTGCCTAGGCCTCAAGGCCTCAGGGCTTCAGTTGCTGCTAAGACAGTTCAAGGGCAGAAGAGTCTCTACTGGGGAGTTTTCTGGTACCTGTTGGCCAAATCCCTGTGTTTAACACCCCAAGTTCTGGGTTCTGGGGACAGTAGCTCTAGTACAGCCCCCTGGAGAAAGAGCATGGGATGAAGTCCTTGGTTGGAAATCTGAGCCAGTGAGTAAAAAGGTCAGTGGACAAGGGGTGGATGCAGACTCCCTTAAAAATATATACAAAATAAATAAATACAAAGAGAAAGAGGGAGATGAATAAGAAAGAGTAATGGAGGGGGTGAATTGATTAAAATACATTTTATGCATATATGTAAAATCACAATGAACTCCCTTTGTATAATCAATTTATGCTAATAAATAGATCTATAAAAATAAAAAAGAACCAGCACTTCTCATATTACATTGTGCTGAACATTAGTGTTTGGTTAGATGTTAATAAATGTTCTACCAAAAAAAAGAATACTCTTTCAGGGAACACCTTCAATGGCTTACTTCTCCCAACTAGACCCCACCTCCTAAAGTTTCCATCACATCCCATTAATGTCATCAAATTATGAATCTATCAATGCCTTAATCCATTCATGATGTCAGAGACCTCATGATCCAATTACCTCCCAAAGGGTCCACAACTGAACGCTGACAGACTGGAGACTGAGCTTTCAACACGTGAGATTTTGGGCAATAATCAAGACCAGACCTTAAGAGCACTTCATAAAATTGGATATTTATATATTCTGTGACTCTGAAATCCCACTTTTAGGTATATTCCTTTTCACCCATGTATGCAAGGAGTAGTGTGCAAAGATATTCATTGTTACAGTGAAAGCAATGTAAAAGATATCTCAGTGGGCAAACGGAAACACACCGCAATACATTCCTATAGTGTTGATCAAGATCATTCACCTTCGACAATGTAGTAATTCTCTTTCATGTTGGTTTTCCTACTGGCATGATATGGTGATATGAAGTTCCCACTTAGTGGAATCATTATTGTACTTCCTGAAGGAAATATTCCTCCTTTGAACAGTGCTATGATATGGATGTGTCCCCCAAATGTTCATATGTTAAAGACCTGGTTATCAACCTGTGGCATTATGAGAGGATAATTTAGGATAGAAGCCTAGTGGAAGGAACTTAAGCCACTGGAGACATACCCTTGAAGACCCTTGAAGGGGATATTTTTGCTTCCTAGCTGCCATGAGGTAAGTAGACCTTATCTACCATACATTCCTATCATTGATGTACTATACCACCACAGACTCAAAACACCAGGGCCAAGTGACCATAGGCTGAAACCTCTTAAACCATGAGCCAAAATAAACCTTTACTCCTTATAAATTGCTTGTATCAGGTATTTTGTCACATTGATGGAAAGTGAGTATCACGAATAATAGCTTCTGAAATAACATAAACCAGAGTTGTGGGTGGAATCAACATTGTGAAAATAGCTGTAATAATGAAAGCAATCTATTGCTTTTGGTATTGCTTTCAAGTATACCAATGCAATCTCTATCAAAATTCCAATGACATTCTTCACTGAGATAGAAAAGTCAATACTAAAATTCATGGAGAAGCACAAAACATCTTGAATAGTC